CTACAGCAGAGTGGTACGTGGTATGCTGGGGTAGAAAGCTTGTCTGTTTTAACTAATGGACTGCCAGACCTCAACGGACCAGATCCAGCCCTGAGAGGAAACTGTACAACACCCAGAGATCATAAATCTGATCAAGAGGGAGGAATGAGTGTGGTATTAGAGCTGTCTTCCTTGAGAAAGGGGGGAGTTTTCCGAAGACGGGAAGAAAGATACATGTGGATACTTAGGACCTTGGCAAAAACACCTGGCTGTTTCCTACTGCACCCTTCCCCATCTTCCTTAGGAATAGAACTCCCAACATTTAGCTGATACAAGTCCCATGGTGGGTGGAGGGAAGGGAAAGGACAGATTTTTCAAAAGGTTTTAAACCATATAATCAAGATTTATATCTAATTTAAATTTCACCTCTATCCAGCCCATTCAGAAAGAGCTGCTCAAATGCCACAGAACCGATACATAGATGAAGAGAGAAATAACCACTGAAAGAACCCACTCCACGGTTTTAAACATTCTTCTTTCCCTGTCTAATTGGTCCATCAAAGTAATCTAAAGTACCACACACTTTTTACAGATATTCAGAAACAGGAACAATTCTGCATAAAGCAAATTTTGTTACCCAGCATTCTACATACTAGTGTAACAACTAGTGTTTGATTCCAAAGCACTAAAAGATCATGTGCGAGATTAATCGACATGTATAAAGTACATAAAAGTAGTGACTGGGAAACAAAAGCTTCCAATACACATTAGCTATTACTATAATTACACAGTAGACTGTGTTTCCATAAGAACAGCTCACAGATAGGATCAAACGTAGTATTAGTTTTAGAAATATTTTTGGTCTTATTTTTGGAACATAACAAGCCAGGTATTTTGTTTATTTATCTATCTTATGGTCTCTCTGGCACCCAGGTGACCTCTTTAAATACCTTCTCCTGTGGCCCGGCATGGTGGCTCACACCTATAATCCCAGCACTTAGAGAGGCCCAGGCAGAAGGATCACTTGAGTCAGCCATTCAAGACAAGCCTAGGCAACACAGCGAGGCCTTGTCTCTACAAAAAAAATTAAAAAGTTAACTGGGTGTGGTGACACATGACTATAGTCCCAGCTACTCCAGAGGCTGAGGTAGAAGAATCGCCTGAGCCCAGGAGGTCAAGGCTGTGGTGAACCGTGATCATGCCACTGCACTCCAGCGTGGGCGACACAGTGAGAACCCAACTAATAAATAAACAAATACCTTCTCCTAAAAAAAGCAGCATGTCCCCCTCAGCCCCAACAACTTCTTCCCAGGCTCACTGGCTCAGTAGACTTCTGTTACTTTACCTCGTAGTGTTAGGAAGAAACCCATGTCAACAGTAGATGAAGACTATGAATAAGTTAAGGCCCACCTTAGCCTCCTGTGTAGCTGGGACTACAGGCATATGACACCACACCTGGCGAATTTAATTTTTTTATTTTCTGTAGGAGGTGTCACTTTGCTGCCCAGGCTGGTTTTTGAACTCCTGGCTTCAAGCAATCCTCCCGCCTCAGCCTCCCAAAGCACTGGCATGAGCCACCACACCCAGCTTGAAATATTTTTCTCTTTTATAAAAATAAAAATTCTTTTTTTAAAAAAAATTTATTTATTTATTATAAAGATGTGGAGTGAGTGAGACTCCTACTTAAAAAAAAATTTAAAGAAATAACATGTCTGATTTTTTTTTAGTTAGAAAATGTGATTATCCTGGGTTATCCTTTCAATATACTAAACTCTTCACCTGAGTAACAAAGGATTATCAAGGGTCAGGTATATAAATACCAATCATACAGGTATCCTTGTTGATGAGGTATGCTCCTCCCTCCCCTAGCAGTTTCCCTCAACTGCCAGTCCCACCTCCCAAATAAAAATTCTTAATCCTATGTGAGTTTCCACTTCTAGTACTGTCAAGCTCAGCTACACAGCTTCGATATCTGTCAAACACTTTTAAAGACTTAAGCTGCTTAAGGTAGAATTTTCTTTTAAAAAAAAAATTTCAATACCGAAAAGGAATTTACTGATGTTTAAGAGTTGTAAGGCAGTGTATTTACAGAGTTTGGGTATTTTTTTTCACCTGTTTTAAAAACAGGCTCAACAGCATGTAATGAAGCCCAGTCATCTGACGGCACACAGGAGCCTCAACCCCTCCACTCAGTTGGGGTATGTGCTGCCTTCTTGGTGATGCACAGCCCATGGCATAATCTCTGTGGCCACACTTTCATCATTTCCAGTATGCACCAAAACAAAATATTTTTTACTACTGTTCATTAAAAAACTGAAAATGGCCTAAAAAGTGCCCATATTTTTCTATCTGAACATCATTCCCAAAGTCTCTTGTTAAATAAAATGCCTGGGGCAACCCCCCCTTGGGTCCCCTCCCACTTTGGGAGTTTTTCTGTCATCTCAATAAATCCTGCTTCAAAATAAAATAAAATAAAATAACATGCCTGGGCTGGGTATGGTAGCTCACATCTGTAATCCCAGTACTTTGGGAGGCTGAGGTAAGAGGATTGCCTGAGTCCAGGAGTTCGAGATCAGCCTGAGCTATCTAGCAAGACTTTGTCTCTATAATAAATCAAAAAAATTAGCTGGGCATGGTGGTACATGCCTGTAGTCCCAGCTACCAGGAGACCGAGGCAGAAGGATCATCTGAGCCCAGCAGGTTGAGGCTACAGTGGCCATGACTGTAACACTACACTTCAGCCTGGGAAACAGAGTAAGACTCAGTCTCAAAAAAATAAAAAAATTTTACCACTGGGCACGGTGGTTCAAGCCTATAATGCCAGCATTTTGGGAGGCGGAAGAAAGAGAACTGCCTCAGTCCAGGGGTTAGAGATCAGTTCGGACAACTTGGCGAGACCTCGTCTCTACAATAAATAAAAAAACTAGCCAGGCGTGGTGGCACATTCCTGTGGTTTCAGCTACTTGGAAGTCTGAAGCATAAGGATTGTCTGAGCCCAGCAAGTTGAGGCTGCAGGGCAGTGAGTGTGCCACTGCACTCCAGCATGGGCAACAGAGTGAGACTTCTACTTAAAAAAAAAAAAAAAAATTAAAGAAATAACATGTCTGATTTTTTTTTAGTTAGAAAATGTAATTATCATGGGTAATCCTTTCAATATACTAAACTCTTCACCTGAGTAACAAAGGATTATCAGTGTTTGCAACAAGCACAACAAGCATCAATAAGAATCAGCTTTACGGCCGGGTGCAGTGGTTGTAGCCTGTAATTTCTGCACTTTGGGAGGCTAAAATGAGGGGATTGTCTGAGCCCGCGGGTTCCTGAACAGCCTGGGCAACTTAGTGAGACCTCACCTCTACAATAAATCAAAAAATTAACCGAGCATGGTAGCACACACCTGTAGTTCCGGCTACTTGGAAGGCTGAGGCAGAAGGATCACCTGAGTCCAGCAGGTCGCAGCTGGAGTGGCCGTGAGTGTGCCACTGCACTCCAGTCTGGGCGACAGAGTGAGACTTCAACTCAAAAAATAAAAATAAGAAATAAAAAATAATCAACTTTTTCCTTCTGTACTGAGAAGTGATGGATGTTGGGGGTGAGAGGAGGCAGAAGAATTAAGGAAAACTAAGGAAAAAAAAGCACAACAAAAATCAACTCAGTACACAAGAGCTGTTCATTAACATGGCTCACAGTCCCCTTCTCAGTCCAGACCCCTCCCCTGGCTCTGGCAATTCTCCTACATGGTTCTGTCAATGCGTCCTCTACCTACTATACCATACACTAAAATGCCACTCCAATGACTTTGAGTATGACAGTCAAGAACATGTTAAAGTATCTCACCATTTTCTATCAACATAGTAGTAAATTTCAGAAATTATTAAGCACAGAGGCCAAAATATTTCCATACATTAAATTATACATTAGTCTAACCATATAATCCCAAGGGTGAAACAGCTAGAAAATGTGAATCCCGTTATTTCTAGAGTCTCTCAATTCTTAAATTTTGGCCCCATGTTGAAGGAAGACTCTTTCCTTATTCCCCTCTATAGCCCACCTTCTTAAACTAAAAGTATTAATACGGACTAATTGGGGAGCTAAAAAATTCCTTTCATCTGTTTTTCATCTTTTAACCTTTAATCAAAGTCCATAAAACAGAAAGGATAAAAAAGGAAAAGCTGCAACAAGTATTAATATAAATTTCAAACATCCAAATGGGATTACAGAGTGCTTTAAAAATGTATTGTATAGGAACATACTAAAGCTGTTTTCAAAATACAAAGCTTCAATTTATTTCAATTTAACATAGTTTACCTGTCATTCAAATCTGCTATTCTAATGCCCCTGCAGAACATCCTGAATTAAATGTCCAACACCAACTATAGCAACACAAAAGCAGAATGATAACTTGAGCAGTAATACCACTTGTTAAACTTGTTTTTTGGTGTTTTTTTTTTTCTTTTTGAGTCGGAGTTTCCTTCTGTCATCCAGGCAGGAAAGCAGTGGCGCAATCTCAGTCACTGCAGTCTCAACCTGCTGGGCTACGGTGATCCTTCCACCTCACCTTCCAAGTAGCCGGGACTACAGGTGCGCACCACCATACCCAGCTAATTTTTTAATTTTTTTGTAGAGACGAAGTCTCACCATGTTGCCCAGGCTGGTCTCAAACACCTGAGCTCAGGCAATCCTCTCACCTCAGTCTCCCAAAGTCCTGGGATTACAGGCACGAGCCACCACACAGACCAATGTTCCTTTTTCCGAGAACATTCTGAAGCCCTGATTCCAGGAAGCAAGACACAAGACACAAAAGCCTTCCCTTCCATAAAACACCAATCTTTGATCAAAGAACTTTAGCTTGTCTTCCTACATTGTAACTCTTCTAAGACAAGAGTACTTCCACCTTGCTAACAGGTTTGTTAAAATGTGTTATTCTACAACTCTGTCCCCCTTCCCTGCCAGTGATTAGAGAGAATGACCAACCGAACAGGATTCCTCAGAGCAGGGGCAGAGAAGGTCTGATTAGAACTCACCCATCCAGAAGATTCATTGTTGTGGGTGTCACTTCAGCAAACAGAATTATTTTTCCCAATATCTTGGTCTGCAAATTTTGTCGATAGATCTCCAGGTTAAAATTTTCTGATGAGAAGGTCTCCGTGTCAGTAATCACAGGTATAGAAGATGGGGTTATTTCTATTTCACATGTGTAGGATGAAACAAATTTAAGAGAGAGCTTGCTGGATTTTATTACTCCTTCAGGGTCCACGTGTTTCCCAAGCCACTGCATAAGAGGATCCCAGATTTCCTGTGTCATAAAGAAAGAAATGAAAAGGTCGTAATTTGGTATTACAATAGATGATGGTAGCTTTTCCTTAAAATGCCTTTTTGGTAATTTGAGTACTTCCTAATTCATGACCAATAAAAGCTAGATTAACATATCCCATACATCTAAACTTTTATACAATATGATAATAAATATGGTAAGTATGCTTATACTATAAAGCTAAGTTCTTCAGAAACCAGAATCCAAAGAAATAAGTTCAGTTCATTATTATATTTTCTATCTGACATTTTATGTCCTCAATTCTCAAGATACCCCTGCAGTCTAGAGCTCATAAGTTATTTTCCAGTCCTCTGTGCATTTCACAGAAAACTTTTATCTTTAGATTTTTGTCCCACAAAGGAATTCATTGTCCATCTGGGGAAAAACAAAAACAAAGAACCCTACATGAAAGAAGTCAGAGCACAAAGTATTAAGATAGTAGAGCATTTCATCTCAGCCTCAGGTCTTAGAGGACCTCCGCTTCCTCTCCTAAAGACGAGTTGAACATCAACAAAGTAGAAACAAATTTATGCAGGGAAAAGAATGAGATATCCCAAAGCTGCTTTCTGTTTGCCCCAAATGCTGGTACACGGAGGGGAAGGGAAACAGAATCTAGAAGAGATGTTACCCAATCCAGATACAGCACTCTCCATCCTACCCCTGCAGCCAAAAGCCTGGAGGAGCACCCCACCACCCCAGAGGTACCAGAGGACCCAGAGGCTTTCCTCCAGGAGGGTTCATCAGGAACTGGCTGCTCAAAGGAGTCATCATTCCAAGAGGCCTGCTCAGAGCATATCAAAATCTGTCAGTCCCAGTAAATACAGATCCAGGCTCTTTCAGAGCATATCAAAATCTGTCAGTCCCAGTAAATACAGATCCAGGCTCTTAGGCTATGCCCCTCAAAAAGGAAAACAAGCCCCTCTGTTAACATCAGGAGTATGTCCCAAAGATCCCAGTGGCTACAGAGAAGCAGCTTCAAAGATAAAATTTAATTCAACTGAGTTTACTGATCAACCTTTAAAACTCACTGCCAGATTACAGAAAATACAGAGAACAACAAGTTAAATGGTGTCAGAAGGAAGCAAGAAGAAGTCAAGAATGTGAGACATTTCACAGGACAGCTGGGCTGGAATCTCCAACAAGTCAATGTCTGGGGAGGACAGGGAGGGTTGCTAGGGTGGGAAAGGGGACCAAGTCTAGATTAAAAGTGAACAAAGGGGCTAAAAATCCCTGTCCTCAGAGAGTTTATACTCTAGTATGGGAGGCAGAAAATGAAAATAATTAATAAGTACAACATATAGCATGCCAGACAGCAATAAGTAGAAAGAAGAACTAAATTAAGCAGAGAAGAGAGTAACAAGTGTCAGAGGCAGACCACTTCAGATCAGACAGATAGAAAAACCTAACTGAGAAGATGACATTTAAGCAAAGACCAGGAAAAAGTGAGGGAGGGCCCTACAATATAATTTACATGACTATGTCATTTATATATATTTATGTAATGGGATTCCAGGGAAAAGCAAGTATAGGGACTCCGAGGGGGAAAGAGCGAGGGGACAGCAAGGAAAGCAGAGTGAGCTTGGGAGAACAAGGGGCGCCAAGGCCACAGGTGTACAGAGGCAGTGGGGTCCAGGTTGATGAGAGCCTCGAAAGTCACAAGGAGGATTGGGCTTTCACTCAAGGAGCAACAGAAGCCCCAGAGGGTTCTGAGGAAGGGAGTGGGATGACCTAACAAGATCACCCCACTCTGGTTGCCATGTTGAGAGCACAAGGAAAGGGCACAAACAAACAAACACAGAGAGGTCGATCATAAAGTTCCTTAAATAACCCAGGAGTATGACTACTGCCTGGACCAGCATGTAGCAAACACCAAGGAGTTTTCTTCATTTCCTAGGGCTGCTGTCACAAAGTACCACAAGCGGAATGGCTTGAAACAACAGAAATATATTCTCTCATTATTTTGGAGGCTAGAAGGTGAGAAAGGATGGGATTTCCCAGTAGACTCTGAAGTAGAGGTTACAAGATTTGCTAACAGGTCATATTTGGGATCTTAAAGAAAATAGGCATTCAAAAATGAACCCAAGATTTCCGACCTAAACACCTGAAAGACAGAGTTACCACTGGAAATACCATAGAAAGAGCAGGTTTGAAGAGATAAAGAAAGGTGGTCAGCTCTGTGCCTGTTTGAAATACTTGTTACAAATCCAGCTGGGCACAGTGGCACATGCCTGTAATCCTGGTACTTTGGGAGGCTGAGGCAGGAGGATTGCTTGAGCCTAAGGCTTCAAGACCAGCTTAGGCAACATAGCAAGACGTCATTTCTAAAAAATTTTTTTTAAAAATTACCCAAGCATGGTGGTACACACCTGCAGTTCCAGCTACTCGGGAGGCTGAGGTGGAAGCCCAGGAGGTCGAGGCTACCATGAGCTATGATTGTGTCATTGCACTCCAGCCTGGGCAACACAGAGTGAGACCTCAACACACACAAAAATAAAAATAAAAATCCCTGCACTGGGATATAAGGGTTTGAAAAAGAAAATTAATTTACTTACATATTTGAGAACTGTCAGACTATAGATAATAATTTAGAGCCAAAAGAGAAGATCAAGGAGAGAGTAACTGTGGAAAAAGAGAAGAATACAAAAGAGTTTCTTCATTTCCTAGGCCTGTTATCACACAGCACCACAAACTAGGTGGCTAGAAACAACAGCAATTCATTCCTAGACAGTTTTGGAGGGGCAAAGTCAGAAATCAAGGTGTCAACAGGGCCATGCCTCATGGACAGCTGTAGGGGGATATTTGTCCCCGCATCTTTTTCTGGCGGTACCAGCATTCGCCGGCACTACTTGGTTTGCAGTCACCCTATCTCTTCTCTATGTGGTGTTCTCTTCTCTACATGTCCCTGATTCTGTGTCTCTTCTCATCTTCTAAGGACACCACTTATGTTGGATTAGGGACCCATCCTAATGACCTCTTAACTCTGTTACATCTGCAAAAACCCAATTTCCAAATAAGGTCATATTCACAGGTTCCAGTGGTTAGAACTTCAAGATCTTTTCTTGGGGGCACAATTCAACCAACAATAGGGGTCAAAGCTTATGTTTCAGGGAGATGAGGGAAAGTCTGCAAAAGAGACTGAGAAATGAGAGAAAATCAAGTGTGTATTTGGACATGAGTACAATTTCAAAAGCAGGAAGATGATGACAGTACAGCAGGGAAAGGGTTGAGAAGGAACTGCTGGATTCTACGAGGCAGAGTCCATCTAGAATCTGATGAGAATAGTTTCAGAGGGCAATGGAGGCCAAAGTCTGATGGGAATGGTGAAAGGAGAAAAACTGCAGACCCAAGGATAAAGTTCTGGCAAAGAATTTCCTCTAAAGGACAAGAAAGGATTAGAGCAGTGGCGGGTGAGATATGGGGTCAAACAGATTTTGTTTAGTATAAATGGGAGAAATAACAGTATGCTTTGTTTACACAGGAAGTTCCCAACATACAAATGAGTTTGGTTCTGAGAGCATGTTCATATGTCTATTTGTTGTAAGTCCAACAAAGTTAGCCGAGGTACCCAACTAACACCATCAGCCATAAACAGTAATACTATAACATGTGTTTAACAGCTATCCTGGCTGTATCCTAATGGAGAGAAATAATACATTAAAAAAGCACATGTGCATCATTAAAGTTCATAACTTGAAGGTTCATATGTAGGGGACTTCTGTATATTGATATCAATGGTCCCACAGAGCAAATCATCAAGTGAAAGGAGGCACCTAGAGCATATCCAGAAAGGTCAGCCTTGGGAGCAGAGACAGCTCATCCATTGAGTTGGGTATAGCTCAGGTCCCCCTCTGGGGACACCCAGTCTTGCATCCCCATGGAGTTCCAGTCCTCCCTTGCCCCCTGCTGGCTGCACAGCTATATGGGACAGCCCTGGTCACTGACCTTTGCTGCCACCAACCTGCTCCAAGGCTGCAGGGAAGTGAGAATCCTGGTGCTGTGGCTAGCAGAAGTCATCTTCTGATTGCTTCTATTTTCTCAATAAATAGGAAGCAAGATCATCAGCTAAGAGAAAAAATGAGGAAGGAGGTATTGAAAGTTTGAGGAGGGAGTAACAAATAGGACACCAGGGAGAGTGAGGAAATTAATGCAGTGAGGAAAGTCATATGAGCAGCTGGAAGCATTTGGGGTTCACAGAAAGTTAACAATTCTGGATTTAGAGTGAGCAATCAGCGCGACTTTGTGTTTTTATCCAGCCATAGTCAGCTACGCAACCATGAGGAGATAATGAGCTGGGCTTGGCATAGAGGAGGTGGTGAGCTGGGGGTATATATAAAGCAGTGACTGAGACTGATGGAGTACAAATGAAACAATGCTGGAGACAGAAGGTGAATACGAATGGTCCAGGATTCCAGAGCTTAACCTCATGAAGAGGAGAGTGAGAGGAGCATCCCAGGACCAAAGAAATCAGGACAGTACCACAGAAAGGAATGAAGTACCAGGGAAGGAATGCAAAATAAGGGGTGATCCTGCTTAAACAGATACCAGAAAAGTTGCCGAAAGAAGTCAAGTTCAAGTGAGCTACCAAACGCTAGAATCAGCTCCTGTGACAGAACTAACTTTTGATCTTCAGACAACAGAATTCCAAGATAAATTTCACATGAAATATTCCCTGGCCACCATTATTTCCTTGATATATGCTCTACGGGGAGGAGAAGAATGAACAAGTAAATAACACACAAAGGTGATCCCCAAACCTCAGATCTTGCCATCGGTTATAACCAACTTTAGGAATGGACTCCTAAAACTTTGGTCAATGCCCTGAAGGCACTGTTAGGATCTGAATTTCTATCACTTTCCCCAGGATGGTTGGAGGTCACCAAGGCACCACACAGATGAACGATACATAGAGGTGCGTTGGTTAAACCACAAAAATAGAGATAAACCTACTAACTAACTCTGGTTTTCATTAACTCATCTGATGT